CACATATGTCGAAGTGTGTGACGTTACTCATGCAAGTACTAAAAGAGAGTAACGACAGTAAAATGTTAATGCAATTGTGCATACAGCTTGGAAAGATTCCAGATTCAGACAAGTAAAATTAATTAAGAATATTTATAAAGTAAAACTTAGAACGTCATCATTTACTCTTTTATTAATATTACAGCATAACAAGAATTATGCGATAAGAGATGATGGACGATATAAATAATACAGGGTGCGTCACCAAAATCCAGACAAATTTAAATTGAAATGAATTTAAATTTGTCTGGATTTTGGTGACGCATATACATAATACTTTTTTTATATAATATAATTTTAATACAATCTCATTATTCTTATTATTTTTATTTACTTCTACCGTTAATTTATTATTACAATTTATACTTGCTAACAGAAACATGTTCGTCCTTATACACACATACGGTTCGGAGGAGCACATTTTTGTTAACTATAATCGTTTGTTTGATTTCCTCTCAATTTGGAGCGAGCTTTATAGTTAATTTGCGTCCAAATGCGAATTTTACTTGATCTCTTATGTTTTTTATCTATGTTATAACTCTATTGTTAATTACCGTTGTTAATTTATTTTGTCACACTAACTTATTTGTCACATTGAAAATAATCTAACTAGGATCGAAATGTTTGTTTTGTTCACCTTCTGATTGTCAAATTATATTTTACGTTTTTAATTTATGACATAGTTTTATTCCAAAAAAAAAAAAAAAATTTTAACTACTCATACAGTTTGTCAATTTATGTTTCAGGCTCGTAGCCTTTTTTCCTTTTTACTTATTTTAATACAATCTTTTTCTGTTTCTAGGAAATACTTGCGTGATTCTGAGAGAGAACAATTATCCCGACAAGCTCTGACACTTTGTCAACAGTCGCTCAGAAGCAGAGTTCAAACAATGGGCTCAACAAGTACAATCGACAGTGTACATCACATTAGAACAGACGCTAGAACACAAGTATTACTTGATGTATATGAAACATATCAACTTGTCCAGAAACATTTTCAGGGCAAAGAGTCAACTATACAAATGTTTGCAACATTGTTGACAGATACGTATAAGATGTACATAGGAAATAAAGTAAGTAAATCTTATAGAAAAATATACTATTTGTACCAATATTCACAGGCGAAATTAGTGCTATCTACATTCTGCTCAATGTACTTTGCACATAGTAAAACATAAGCTTATACTTCTTATATACTTCTTATATACTTTCTTATATACTTCTTATCTCTTATTTTTTATCTTCTTATCCCTTATCTTTTAATTTCTTTTTCATTTTTTTTTTTGTTAACTGATACTTGCGCAACTGTTATAATTCGTCATTGATAATGACACGCAATTAAATTGATATCCAATTGTAAATATTGGTGGAATAAAATGTTTATTAAAAATAACATTATTGCTATAAATTATAGAAGGCTATGTATAAATATTACGTTGTAAGAAAAAATTTCTTTTCAAAGAGCCAACTAATTATGAACTATTAAATATATAAATTATTATTTTTTTATCTGTATTGCAATATTCATACGATATTATAGAATATTATATCGTAATATTATTTTACATTGGAAGACATCTTTTTCAGTTTTAAATACTATTTATTATAAACTATCATTTCTTGTTGTATTTATAATAATTATTGGATAAAAATCACGACAATTTCAATAATTGCGCTTTTATGTTGCTTTCTAGAATTTGGAAGGAAATGTTTTGGAGATTGCTATTAAGTGTTGTCAACGTCAGATACAAGCAAACAAACTCGCATCTATTAATAATAGTAATAGCTCTCACGTTCAGCTCTCACCTCAAGTTGCCCCTACTATTTCGGTAAATAAATCATCTTATTATTGTAGTTGTCAACATGTAACTTAATTATAACCAAATTAATATCTTCAAATTAATATGTCGTTACAGGCACCTACACCACAAGTGCCGGTGAATTCAACGTCCCCGCAAACATTGCAGAATCGCAAACTGCACAGAAATTTGACATCTACCGGACGTCCGAGAGGACGTCCACCAAATGTTAATAAATACTTGCAACATGCTCTACAACAAAGTGGCAACGTGATGAATCAGTTCAGTTCCAAGAGTAACTTTGCGAATTACATGGGTGCGTCCGGGCCAAGTCGTTCTCTGATAAATCCTTATTTCATGAATCCGTTAGTTGACGCAAACATGTTATCGGCTTTATTAGCCAGCGGACTAAACAGCAATATGATGGATCCTATAGCGGCTATGACCTATTTAAATCAAGTAGGAAGTTATCAAGATATCCTCAGGCAATATCAAAACAACTTATCGTCATTGACCAATCTTGCTAGCGGTTTAAACAATCCTGGTACCACTATAACCAGCATGAGCAATGTTTCGACAATGAGTACATCCAGCTCTAATATCAATACTTCAAGTAACATTGCCAATTTAAATAGTATAAAAGGTTCCTTAGATCCTATGACAGCGTCAGTGCAACAATTACTGAATTTAAGTAATTCTACAGCATCAACTTCGCGACCGGCACCCATGTACCATCAAGCGACGGCTAAGACTAGCACAACTATGTCACTAGCAAAGGACCGACCTAATATATCTATAACACCAGTTAGCACGTCGATGAGCCAGCAGCCTCATCACAAAACGTCGAAGCCGCCCAGCAAGCAACCGAGCTCACAGACTGAGCCAGTGTTACCCGTCCACATTCCTAAATCGCTTCAGATATCGCCAACGAAACCGGTATTACACTCGTCAAATACGACGGCGCAAGTATCCTTGCTCAAACCATCCATCATTCAACAGGTAAAGAGCAGTCCGCCTAAACAGATGACCGCGCCGCAGATACGAGTCTCAAAATCCTTGACTGAGCCGCAACCCGCGCACAATTCATCGTTGTCGCATTCGCCTTTGAAAAACAGCGGTAATACCGTAACCACGAATCCGATCGCGACCATGTCACACGTTCCCCACACGTCCATGGGTGCGCCGGTGATCATGAAACAACAGCAAGCATTACCCATGAACTTACCGAATGTATCGCGTTCCGGTACGTCGTTACAGCATAAATTATTGTCAAAAAAAAACTCGCGACCTTATTCAACGCAAACGAACGTTCAGAATCATCCTATGAGGAAAGCAAAGCCAGCCAAAACGGCGGCGATGTCAGTGCCGATGTCTGGCAATTTTCCAAACCTGTTAAATGCAATGCCATCAGCAAGTTCCGTCACGATGCCGCAACCGCCTTTTATACCTCCAGAATTAAGCGGCATTTCGGTGAGTGCCGTCGGTTCACAACCTGTTGGTATTAAAACCGCGGCTGCGGCTGCAACCGCTAAGTATCATAGCTACAAGAAATCCATTAGCAAGCCGAAATCAACTGCGACGCCAGCGATAGAGGTGCCAAGTTCATTACCGGCTTCATTTTCTTCCGGCAGTTCAGTCGAAGCACTCTCAATGCTGTCGCAATTACAACAGCACTCTCACCTGGAAATAATACCACAGCAGAAAGCGCCGTTAAAGTCAAACATTGATTATAAAACTCTTTCATCTTCCGTGAATGTGGTGCCATCGAAAGTCCCAGAGACCTTAAGATCGTCGACAACCGCCGACTGTATATCTATGTATGATTTACCTAGAGGAAAAACTGCTAACGTTTCAAACAAAAAGACACAAGATAAGCTCCTTACTGATAACGTCGAAATTATAACATTAGATGATTAAGAATCGCTCAAATAAATCACGTTTGTTGCGATTATTTTGCGTAATCATTTTTCAAGGAGTACTTGCAGTTATCTGCTTGAAAATGATATCTTGCAATGGAATGACAAACTATATTCGCGTAATAGTGATGTTGTTTTAGCGGAAAATTTTACAAAGTTATTTTAGTTTAGGTATGAGAAAATAATTTCGGAAAATTTTTCATTGACTGAATTATGTGTTTTATATGCATTTCGTATAAACTCGATTTCTAATTATTAAATTATATAAAAATGCATAAACCAAATATATGTAAAGTTATTTACCGAATTCCAATATCAATGAATTGAATGTAAGGCTGAGTTACGTAATATATATGAAATTTGTTTTTCTTTAAAATTTTTATATATAAGGAGCAAATTATATAATTATTTGCGACATGTATATTGTCTTTTGTATATATAAGTATTCATTGTAAAACTTTTTGGTTCCAATATGAACGAAAGATTATTCTGTAACGCTGTAATTAGTCATATTTAATTATACTTAATTTTTTTATTGGAAAATAATATAATGGAAAATGTATAAATATTGTAAGACATAAATTTACATATTAAAGTCGATCATTCTTTTTTATAATTTTCTCGTATAACTCTGATTAATTTTTCATTACTTGAGAATCAATCACGTAACTTTTTCCTTGAAAAAAGTGAAAATTTTTTATGTGTATGTATATGTAGACACATACATAAAAATTTTCGCTTTTCATATTTTCGCTCTAGAGAAACATTTATACAATCGATATCCTGGTTAAGGGTCTCAGCACAAAGATGATCCTAACCAAATGATCGTAACTAATTGTCAGTTACGGTCATTTTTGTGCTTAGGACCTAATTCGTGATTTAGACTTAACCTCACTAAACTTAATGATAATGTAAAAATGTATTTTTCTTGCTATGATGACTAAACTAATGGTTTTGTAATAGCAACTTTAAAAGTCATTCACTACAAAACCAATTAACCATAAATGAAAAAATATAATTTTTACATTATCATCGGGTTAAGGTTAACCAGTAAATGAAAAACTAGGCCTTAGAGGAATATACAATGAAACTTTAGTCTATATACTTTGTAATGTTATTAATCATAAGATATTAAATTTAAAGGTAAATAACTCATAAATTTTATATTATTTAATTATGAAGTTTCAATTATATATGTATCTTTCATTAATTGAAAATATTAATTTATATTATTACGTTTACTGACAAACGCATTGCTTTTTCACTAATTCTACTAAAGCATTTCTGCATAAGGAAATATTATTTTTCTACCATATGTACTTGATAATGACGATACTTTTTTCTACATGTACAATCTTATGTAATTAGCTTCAGTAAACTTGAACGTTTTATAAATATAATTTGTGTATGTGTATAACTTACCTCTGACATTAAGAGGATATTTGAAATTACCGTCTTATCTATTGTCCATTGTTATCCATTATTTTCGTTTCACTGTTTGCAAATTTTTTTTTCTTTTTTATGTTTTATATATCTGAAAAAAGTATGTGACGATAAGGTAATAATGTTCCTCATGATAACGCAACTATAGTTAAATATTTATTGTTTAATTTGTCTCATTTTACTAATGAAAAAATAATACTTTTCAGACGCAGTGTTTAAAATTTTTTATTCATTAATAAAAAATTTAGGTATACATTTCGTAAGTGCTTTTAAATAGCTATTTCTTGATTAATAGCCTTTATAATGTTTATTTTTTAGTACTTCGCTAATTTAAACATATTGTCTGGAACTCCACGCACTTCTAGGCCTTTTATTGCAAATACAGCACCAGCTTGAGGATTCGGGTTTTGCTCTTTATCTAAAGTGTAACCAGTTGTAGTCACGTACAAAGTATCTAGAAGTGGACCGCCGAACGTGGCACTGATTACGTTTTCAACTGGAAGCTCAACTTTACATAATATAGTTCCTGTCTTCGGTCTCACGCCAATTACCTAGTCAATCATTTTCATGGATCACAAGACTGCAGTAATTTTCACGAATCTTTTTAACTGCTATCTATATATATATATATTTTTAAATTGCTAAATTTAAATCTTTAACAAAGATGAAGACATTTCAAATTAATATCTAGGAAAAATATCAATTTTAGAAAGAAAGATATTACATTATTACATTATTGTTGATATTGCATTTAATGACTGTAATCATTAAATTTTTGTTGTCTTTTCGATAATCACTTTCAAGAAAAAATAACTGTTATTTTTTTCCTTGATAGAAGTTACAATAAAAAATAAAATTTTATTATATGTACATATTATATTGGATTAGTGCAAAAATTCATGCCGTGATTTATTATTTAAACTTCAAACAACTGCTATTTTTATTAAAAATAAAATAAAATCTAAATCTTACTCTATTTAACGAGAGAATTTAAGAATCTATTTTTTTTTAATTGTGATGGTTTTGATAGAATTATAAGCAATCAAAGTCAAAATATTCATTTAATTTGCAACAACTCGGTAACAAAAAATCGTAGGAACATTTTTAAAAAGCGATTTTGTAAAGAAAATTTCAAGCTTTTACGATAAAAAATCGAAAATTTTCTCAAATTTTTTTTAGGCACGCTATAGATCTATAAAGTGAAAAGAAAATTTTTCATTTTTTTCAGTTCGTAGTTTTCTATATGTAAAAATTACAAAACTTATATAAACTCAAAAAATATAGTAATTATTCGAAAGTAGAGATTTTAAGCTTTAAAATTCTTTTTTAATTTAAACTTTGTTATTTTTTTTAATGAAATTGCAGCTGTTTGAACTTTGAATAATAAATCGAGCAAGAACTTTTGCGCTAATCCAATATATGTATACATTATATATATATAAATTAGAGAACTCTATAATATTACAAACAATTTCATTTATTTTTAAATGTTGCTTTGTATACTTACTCGAGATCCATCAAATAATGTTATCCAAATATTGCCATTTGTATCTATAGTCATTCCATCGAGTAATCCTTTCAAATTAGTCCTATTAAGATCAAATACAATTTTCTTGTTAGCTAAAACATAAAAACTATAAACATACATTCTTAAATTCTCTCTTTTAATTTTATGCATTACTGTAATTTTCAGTTATATATGATATACACTCTTGAACATTTTATTATGACATAATTTTATAAAAAATCTAATATCTTACATATTGTCCCATTATTCGGATTGTAATCATACGCTACAACCTGAGTAAGTGTATCAATATAATACATGAGACTATGTTGTCTATTCCATGCCAATCCGTTACTTATTGTAACGGGTGATATTTTCTTCTCGGGTTTTAGGTCATCATTAATGCGATATAACGACCCTTGTTTAGGGATTACTGCCATTTTATTCATATCAGTCATAGCAACTTTATCACTCATAGTACCTGTGAAAAATATTAATCGTGTAAGAGAATAGATCTCATTTCTATCTAATCGTAACATTTTCAGTTTACCGATCCACAATCTTCCAGTTGAATCTACTTTCCCGTCATAGGTTCTTGTTGAAACCTGAGAGTCAAGTGAAAACAATACTTTGACTGGTACGTTCGATTTATTGCTTTTTCCGTCCCACGTAACGAGAACAACATCTTTTCCCGCACCTGCTACAAATTGGTCAATCGTGCCAGCTACAGGTATAGCAACTCCAATATTTCCATGTTCTGAAAGAGCATTGTGAAACTTACAAATATGCTATAAATTTATTGGAACATAGGAAAGCTTATAAAGAAGAAATATAGTCTTGCCTATGTATGCACTATTCACAACACCTGTTGCGGGATCTAGACTATGTATATATTGATCGTAAAAATTAACAAAATACAACTTTTGAGTACAATTGTCCCAATAAAGGCTCTTAGAAAAGCCATAAATATCTGTTATTTTCTCAACTGTCAAATTCACACATTTACGCGCCTGCCTACAAACAGATTATTATGATATTCATAACCGACAGATATTTCTAATGAAATATTAAATATAAGTAGCAATGCTTATGCGAACAGAAAAGTAAAAAAGGAAACGAGCAAAATTATTTGTATCCTTATTAGATAGAAATAAAAATTCATAATGTTCTCAAACAAATTTATATATGTACGTTACTGTGTTCATTCGTGAAAAGTTTCTGTAAGAAATTTTTTAAATATTTTACGAAACATAAGTATCGCGAAAATTTTTGTAAAAAGTATTTATAATACAATAAGAATGCATTATTCAATAATGATTATTTTTACTATTGATAAATTTCGAAATATTGTATGATTCAGTCCAATGATCTTTTACAATTAAAGTTAAACATCGTTTTAATTGTGTTTTCAAATGGATGATTATAAGTACATATTTTTAACTTTAATTTTTTTATAGAAATATTTTTATCCTGTAGTTAGACTAATACCTCGTTTAAAATAATTTAAATACTTGATATATTTCGTCATCAGCATTCTCAAAATATTGCGTATCTCACATGTAACATAAATATACTGTAACACTATTTATTTTTACTATTGTAATAAAAAAACCAAGTTTTACTGTTTCTTATTATCTCGACAGAAGGAAATATTATTTAATATATGCATTAGAGAACTATGATTTCCTTTTTTTAACATAGATGCGTGGCACCTCGTCAATTTGTGAATGCAATATCTTTCACTTACCCGCCACGGATGAAGATGAAAATGTACACTAAAGGTACAAATTTACAAATTGCTCTTCCCATGATGTGTATTATACTAATGTTGTCGTAAAATTGGAAAGAAATTTGTTAATTAGGGAATATATATGTATAAATATTCTAAGGAACATAAATTTACAGGAGTAGATAATAAAATTCATTAAATATGTTATTCTAATATTATTAATCATATTAAATATTTATAAAATTTAGATAGGATAAAAAAAACATTACATTAATTATAATGCGCAATTTCTATTATATATGTACGTATCTTTTTATAATATTAAAAGTACAATTTAATTATGCTCACAGACAAATAAAATAACATATTGTTTTTTCATTAATTCTACTAAGGCATTTCTGCGTAAGGAAACGTTATTTTTTTATCGTATGTATTTTATAATAATTACTTTTTTATATGTACTGTACACTGATTTAATGTAACTAGCTTCAATAAATAAATAAACTTTCTAAGCGTTTTCTAAAACAATTTGTACGTGTATATGTGTTAAACTTTACATGCTTAAGTTTACTAAAATTTGCTATTAAAAAGATTACTCCGAATTACTAGCTCTTATTAACACAACTTTGTTTCACCGTTTGTCAATTTTCTGTTTTCCTCAAGTTTTATATATAATACTTAAAAGTAGAATTTTAAGACGATAAGGTAATAGTAGTCCTTTCTGATAACGCAATTGTACCAAAGTACTCGTTACGTAATTCCTTGTTGCATACGTAGTATATACTCGAAAAAAAATGTGTGCTCTGTGGTTTAAATCGATTTGTATCTTTTACCTCCCTCCTTGTATAGATTCTTAATGATAGTGAACAGTTTATGGTATGAGAAAATTCGTCTAAATATATTAATTTATTTATATAAATTAATTTAGATCTCTAATTTTTTATTTGTACATACAGTTATTGCTCAATACTTAAAATTAGCGCAGTCAACTTTAAATGCGAGAGATCGTTGTATTCGCTTATTAATATATTGTATATTGTGGCGATTACATATTTCAAACCGTTATAAATACAGTAAACTCAGTGGGACTTTGATCACACTCTTTGTAGTGAGAATTTGATCGCATTTTCTGTTATAGGATTTTTAATGTTTTTATCGTGAAATTGATTAAGATCTGTTATTAAGCCAATTCTCACTCACAAAACCGATTTTTTATCAATAAATCTATATAAAATGTATATAGCGTGCGTGATATGTAATGAGTTACTGGAACCATTCGATGATATCTTTCACACCCCGTGTGGACACATATACCACGAAATGTGCTTGTACAGTGGCTCGAGAAGTAATTTGGATAGTGCACCAAAGATTTTTGCATGCTCTTGTAGTTCTTCTTTTGCCTATTATATTCAAAGAACTTTCATATAATTTCTGAAAGATTTTATATTATTTACACATTAAAAGTGTTTAACTTCATCTATAGAATTGTTTCAGATCAAAGACCTGTCCATATTATGTCGAGCAAAGACAACTAATCAGACGATACACAAACTATATTTTAACTTCTCAAAAAATGATGAGTATGATTACAGAGATTATGACTCTGCTTTTCAAGCTTATTAAGAGATCTGTTTTCTTTTTTTTTTTTTCAAAAATATTTCAACTGTGTGCAATAAGTTGAAATAAAAGGAATAGTTTGTTTTTCATTCTAACTTATTGCATTAGCGAAACCAATCCAGAACATTGATAATTTAAGGCTTTCACGGATGTAAAGCTTGCACAATCTAGAACAGTCTTCAAAAAGAATGCAGACCTAAAGCTGAAAGTTTACTGACAATTTTGGTAATCTTACAGATATCTACGAAATAATAATGAAGACGTTAGATGATTTAATACAGGAAATTTCAGGAAAAATTGAAAGTGAAATATATGTCAGCTGGAATGCACATGAGGATTCTCAAACAATTGTATTCAACTCTGCATAATTGTGAGGAAAAAATTGCAGCTTTGAAAACAATACCACAACATATAAGAAGGCAACAAGTATATTTGTTTATTATAATATTTGTTTTAGAGATATACATACAAGTCAAGTTCGTAACTTAACTTTGTAATTAAACAAGTATAAAAAGAAAAGCATAAGAAACCACAGCACAAGTTGTAGTTTGTAATATTTAATTATTATTACATCAATTAAAACATTAAATGTTTCGAAATTCTTGTTCTACACTTTTCGTGATATGACTTTGGGCGTTTTAACATTATTGTACGAAGCATCTTCTCATAAATGAAAATGTGAATGAACACATTTATATAATTACAACATACGACGGTTGAATTTAATGTCAACTAGATGTAAATCTGCGTCTTAAGAATATTATGAATTTACTGAAGATGATCAGATTGTGGCCGAAACGTTTAATGTTTTAATTGATGTAATAATAATTAAATATCACAAACTACAACTTGTGCTGTGGTTTCTTATGCTCTTCTTTTTATAATTGTTAAATTTATAACCACGTTTGTTTTTACGATTTATTCTGCAATTAAATTTTAATCTTATAGTGTATATAGACTTATAATTTTTTTATGTAGATTAAAATTTTACAAGATGGTTATAGATCTGCATCTATCAATTCATTGCTGAAAACGCAAACAAGTTATGATTAAAAAACTTGCTAACTATAATATAACCATATTAAAAAGGTATTCTATATTTACAAATCGAAATTTAATTAATTACATATCGGTTTTTTCAACCTAATCAAATGAACCTAAAAAATTATTTTCAGGAGTAGTATTTAATTTTTATTCAATTTCATTCGGATTGTAATCATACGCTACAACTTGACGAGTAGCTGAATCAATATAATACAAAGTGTCGTCTTCAATTTCATACCAATCCATTATTTATTGTAAACAGGCGATATTTCCTTTTTTGATTCAAGATCATCACGATATAAAATTTAAAAATTACGTACATTTTCGCAAATATGAAGATATCTATTTCTTGATATTTCTTGTAAAATTCCTACTCTTTTAATCCATTATCGTAAATGAATTTGCAAGTAGTCCATGAACTTCTAAACCTGTCACCGCGAATATAGCACCAGCGTAAGGAGTCGCTTGTCGTTGCTCTGCACTTATATTGAAACCAGATGTGGTCACATACAAAGTATCTAGAAGTGGACCGCCGAATGCGACACTGGTTACGTTTTCAGTTGGAATCTCAACTTCGCGTAATACTTTTTCTGTTTTCGGATCCACGCAAATAACCTAGAATAAATTTTCCATAGATTACAAGAATTCTAATAATATTTTAATAAATTCAATTACTATAATAAAATTTAATTATATATATTAGAATTTAATTATATACATATATTGTTACATGAGGTAATTCTATAATTTTATAAATAATAATTCATTTATTTTTAAATGTTACTTTGTATACTTACTCGAGATCCACCAAATAATGCTATCCAAAGATTGCCATCTGTATCTATAGTCATTCCATCAGGTAATCCTTTCAAATTAGTCTTATTGAGATCAAATACAATCCTCTTATTAGCTAAAACATAAATTATAAACATACATAAATAAATAATAAATTATATTTTTAAATTTTATGCTTTATGGTTGATGTAATTTTCAGTTACATATGATATACTTTTGCACATTTGCTTATAACATAATTTTAAATGGAAAATCTAATATCTTACATATTGTCCCATTATTCGGATTGTAATCATACGCTGCAACCTGACGAGGAGTTGAATCAATATAATACAAAGTGTCGTCTTCAATATTCCATGCCAATCCATTACTTATTGTAACAGGCGATATTTTCTTTTTTGGCTCAAGATCATCATCGACGCGATATAATGTTCCTAAATTGGGAGCTATCTGTCCATTGACTTCGTTACCCATAGTACCTATGGAAAATATATATTAGGCGTAAGCGAACAAATCGCATTTCTATTATTTGTGATATTTTTAGTTTACCGAGCCAAAATCTTCCAGCCGAGTCCACTTTTCCATCATTAATTCTCGTTTGAGCCTCAGGAGAATCGACCGAACACAACACTTTGACTGGTACCTTAGATTTATTGCTTTCTCCATCCCATGTAACAAGAATAACATCTTTTCCTGAACCCACTATAAGTTGGTCAACACTGTCATCCACAGGTACAGCAACTCCTACAGTCCCATGATCTAAAAAATTGTGAAATTTATAAATTCTAAAATAAATGCTATAAATTCAGTGAAACAGAAAAGCTTATAAAGAAACATGAGTGTAACCAAGGGGGATAGGAAAGTCGTGGCCTCTTAAATTTTAAATAACAAAAATAATTAAAATCGCTTAAACGGACTACTTAATGCTTATTCACAAGAAATTACTTTCAGAAAAGAAGGAATTGGAGGTGAAAGTTACAGAAAGATTTTCTGCGACTATAGTGTTATAAATTTAAGATTTTTCAGTTTCGAAGAATCAGTTGACAATTTTAAGAGAAAAATTAAGTAAATTAGTAAATCAAATGTATGATTTTGTGATTTTTGTTTGTTAATAATTGATTAAAAATAATATATAATAAAACAAAACAAGTTCAATAATGAAATGGATTATTTCATATTCAACTATTCCTCTCCATTATGTTTAAAAGTCACTCTAATTTAACCTCCCCCTAATAAAAGAAAAAATGTACCTATGTATGCGCTGGTCACAACACCTGTTGCGGGATCTAGCCTGCGTATATACTGATTGTATATGTCAACAAAATACAATTTTTGAGTACGATGGTCCCAATGAGGGCCTTCGGAAAGGCCATAAGCATCTGTTACTTTTTCGACTTTCACATTTTTACTCGCCTGCCTGCAAACAGATTACGATATTCGTATTATACATCCTGAGACAATTTTAGATTTAGGAAAGAAGAAGAAAAAGAAGAAAGGAGCGTAATTAAACGGAACAGACGTACGTCTACTTTTTCACGTGACATGCATTCTTTGTACTCTTCCATACTTGTAAGCACCAGTGTGCACTTTTTCGCATTTCTTACGTTTTTATTACAAAAAAAAGAGGTGCAGAAGGAGCAAGGGAGATGGATCTATCATGATATATCAAAACAAATATAACAGGCCAATATTTACGTCGTCATTGCTTAGAGTCTGAAGAATATAAGTATGTATTGAAACCAGTTGCAAGCTGAACACAGCTGAACAGTTGAAAGTTCGATTGTTGGCGATGCGATAGATCGTCGCAGATGAACCGAATGGAACTGAAGCGAATGACAAGTAGTCAAAGGGGAATAAGTTAAAATGAAGCGGATGGTTAAACTTGAGTGGAGGGATGGCTAATTACATCGATTGCCTTAAATAACCAGCAATCGTCCCGACGATACTGAACGATAAAATATGGCGACGGCTATTTAATTAATAAGATTGAGCTGTATCGATAAAATTGTTTGTTTGATTCCAGCCAACGGGTATCGTAATGTAACAGGCGTGGGGTTATCAAGATAACGCGTTATATTACAAGGTCTCTCGACTAAGGCCACACTCCGATTTGTTTGATCAGCGCCATTTCCAAGCAAAACAACAAATCGAAATATCAAAATGAATTGTAAATAAAAAACATTATGAATTGCATGTAAATATAATGTTTGAAAAGTGACTTTTTAGTTATCATTTTGGTAACTTGTATTTAAATTGATTGGTAGAATAACTCATAATAAAATTTCTAATTGTATTAATTGTTATTTCTACTTCCTTCTATATATTTAGATAATAAGAATTTAATAATTCTTGTTTAATTTTAATTTTTCATAAACAAGGTACCGCAGGTTTGATAATTAAATTAATGGCTGATTAGGCTTAAAATTTCATTAAACATTGATTTAAAAAGAACAGTTTTAGATTGTGAACACACATGGTAAATTTAGCGTAGAAACTTTGGATGAATATTGAAATTTAAAACGGAAAATATGTCGTGTATTTATAGATTGATGTTTATTATAATGATATTAATGCGCTATAAACAAGTCGAGATATTCTACAGTGTCACGCGTTGATGTACTAATATTGTCATCACTGTACTATACTTTAATTATAGGCCTATGTATGTTCTATAAAGATAGAAATGTATGTTGAAAAGATTATGGAAATGTTACATAAAACTTGTATATAATCTGTCACGTTCAAGATCATGCAACATTCGTTTCTTTTCCTTCACTTTACACGAGAAGTGTTTATTTAATGATAATGATTAAAAAATGAGATTATTTCATGTAAGAGAAAAAGTACAATCTTGTTTACAATTATGAATAACATTGATTAAAAATAATTAGCAATTTAATGTGAATATCACAAATATCCGGAATTTAGAGATAGACATTATCTCTAAAATAAATATTTTGACTTAGCCTATCTCTAAAATATTGGATCATCTAAAAACCGCGGATATTTTTTAGATGACTCAATATTTAGATTTATGTCTGTTTAGATTACCTTTGTACTTAATGTAGATTACCTTTAATCTCATTCAGCAAACGAGAATGGATTGAAATGAATTAAAATGGATCAGATTTTCAGAAATATTGATTCACGACATATTGAACGTTAAAATGAATGTTTTTCAATCCTGAATGAATTTTTATTTATTTATAGGAATTGCATGGAGCATATCTCTATGCCTTTCAATCTAAAAATAATATTAGTTTTTTCTGTGCACACACAATACATTGTGAATACTGTTCAATTCAAAATTTTGAATAAGAAATGCAGTTTTTCAATTCAATTGTATCCAATTGAATCCAAAAAAAGTATTCGCTATTTATATATAAAATATGTTTGGATAGAAAAAAATTTCAATCCACTTTAATCCATTCTCGTTTGCTGGAAAAAGACGACTTAGTCGACAAATTTTCATAAATAGAATTAGATATATGTAAGTAGCAATGTGGACAGACAAGTAGAAAAGGAAACGTACAATTTCTATTCTTATTAGATAAAAATAAAAATCCTTAATGCTCTCTCTCTCTCTCTCTCTCTCTCTCTCTCTCTCTCTCTTACAAATTCATATATACATTACTGCATTCATGCGGAAAGTTTCCACAAGAAATTTATTTAATACAGAATTTTTTGTGAAACAAGTATCGGGTAATTATTGAAAAAAAATATTTGTAATTTAATAAGAATGTATTTTTCAATAATAATTATAACTGTTGATTGAAATTTTGAAATATTGAATGATTCAACTTAATGATCTTTTTTAATTAAAATTTAATCAGTTTCTCTTTTTAATTATATTTATTTCCTGGAAGATGGATGGTTATATATATTTTAACTTTGATTTTTTGTGGAAATATTTTTATCTTAGACTAACATCTCGAGTAAAATGAATAGTTTAAATATTCGACACAATTCAACAGCATTCTGGATGTTGCTTCATCAGATACATAAATTATGTTACGTACTATCATTGTATATTATTTTTAGTATTTAATGAAAAAACCAAGCAGGTAAAAATCTAGCTTTCGTTTTTCATTGTCTCGACAGAAGGAAATGTTACTTAATATACGCATTAATATTACGACTTCCGTTTATTAATGTAGGTTCATGACATCTCGTCAATTTGTCGTCAGCATGTCCTTTCACTTACCCGCCGTGAACGAGGGCGACGAGAATGCACACCAGGGACACATATTTACAAATTGCTTTTCTCATGACGTGGTTGATAGTGCCGTAGTACTCGATTGGAAAAGAATGGCTCTTTCAGGATAGGCTGAAAAGAACGAATAAAATCGAAACGCACGTCGGCTTACTTCTTATATGAGTGCTCCTACCTTCACGGTTTGGTCGAAACCTGTGGAGTTTTTCCACGATAAATATCAGAATGTTAGATAATGCTGATTTACAAATTACTTAAAATCATTTTTTTTCTTCTTTTGACAGTAATTTGCGAAATTATTGTTGTGTCATTTAATGGCGTGTGAAAATAAAATATTTCAACGATCGATATTACTTACGATAACAATCTTTAACAAAGAAAGACTGCGGATATTGATTATAATTTGTTACAGTGAAGATATATTATGTAAACTCACGATAAAAATATGTTATCACAGAGGTGAGAACAGATCTTTTTAAATATTATATATGGTAAATATCATACAAAAAACGTATTTTTCGTAAGATTGATAAAAAACATGTTTAAAACATGCTTAATTGATGTTTTTAAATTATAAAAATAATAAGGCTCAATAAATTTAAATAAATGAAAGAATAAAGGGCTACAAGCCTAAAAATCAAACAACAAAATAACAATCTACATTAAACGGTTAAAAAATAAAATAAACAATGTCATGAAATTAAAAAAACGTGAAATATAATTTATACATTCCTTAATATAAAATTTCTTCTTTCTATGTAATACGCTGCGAGTCATTTTTATCAAGAATTAACAAAGTCATAAGAAAATTCTTAGTAAATCTGTTAAGAGTCCAATAATACATAATGAGAAAAAAAATAAAATGTGGTCCATTTCGTGATACAATAAAATAGTCTTTTTAATTTAATAAGTTATTATAAGCAAATTCGCAAAGGTAACAAGCATCTGACTTACACGATGTCAAAAAACGAAAAATTAATTTCGTTTTTTGACATCGTGTAAGTTAGATGCTTGTTACCTTTGCGAATTGTAAGATTGCATTGAAAATGACTCGATTGGAGTTGAAACGTTTGTTTTATTTTAATTGTATTAGTATTGTATTTAATTGTAATTTAATTTTTGTATTAGTTTTGCTTATTTAAATTGCAATTCTTTTATACGTTATTGGCTCTTCGCCCTTCTTTTATATTACCCTTTGTTTGTAAGTAGAGAGCTTTTTTTATTACTTTTAAGCAAATAATAAAATTAAATTAATAGAAAGAGGCGAAAATTATTTTTGATATTATGAGACATGTACAAAAGAATTATTAATGTCGATAGAGAAAGAGTAAGAACCCGTTGTATATGTATAATGAGTTTAGTACAATAAAATAAGAATAAATACCTTAGTATATGTGTCAAACTGGTATTTATCAATTAGACAATGCGACGGGAATCAAAATTGATCATCTCTCTAAGAAGCTAAGAGATAAAGTGAAATATGACATGTAAAGACAGGAAGGTTGAAATAGAAAACTAAAAAAGAAGGGGAACATAAGAAGGAGAAAATAAAGTAGAGGGAAGAGAAAGTAGGGAAAAAGATAAATAAAAGAAGGAAAGCAATTAAAAAGGAGAAAGAGATTGGATAATCTGTGAGTAGGTTTCAGGTAAAGATTCATTTTGTCTGATCAACATAACTCGCTTCACAATCATCGCAGGAAATCTTATAAACAACATTTATAAGATCTTGGTATTAACTACAATCGTTTATTTGGTTTTCTCTCAATTTGGAGCGAGTTTTATAGTTGATATTGCGTCCTTATGCAAATTTTATTTAATTTATATATATTTTATCTACGTTATATCCATTTTTATTTTGTCTTCACATTGAAAATGATCCAACAGGAATCGAAACGTTTGTTCTTGTTCACTTACTGATTTTTAAATTATATTTCACGTTTTTTTAATTTCATGACATTGTTTATTTTATTTTTTAACCGTTTAATGTAGATTGTTATTTTGTTGTTTGATTTTTAGGCTTGTAGCCCTTTATTCTTTCATTTATTTATGATGTTTTTAATATGTTTTAAATATGTTTTTTATAGTATTTGCGTAAGTCTAATGCGCCTATTTTTATGTGTATATATGTTTAGATAATGTCTTGAATAATTTATATTTTTTACTAATGCATTTATATCTATCAGGAGTATTAGAAATACAAAAACATTTCAAAGTATATTTGAAGCATTAAAAATTATTTAAGAAAAAATACATTACAGTTTTATTCTTAAAAAAAAAACATTAATCTTTACCAACCCTGATTTTTAGTATATTTTATTAAGTTGCTGAATATTTTTCATGGTAGAAATGTTTGAAATATTTTTGTATTTCTAATACTCCTGATAGATATAAATGCATTAGTAAAAAATATAAATTATTCAAGACATTATCTAAACATATATACACATAAAAATAGGCGCATTAGACTTACGCAAATTAATGGATATATTAGATGCACTAAAGAATATTTATATATTTCTTGATTTACAGCAATTGAAAATTTTATAAAACATATTTGATATTATCAAGAACAATCCATAAAATTTGAAAGTTAGATTTAATTAGAGAGAATTATGAAAAGTATTCGATAATAATTAATGATCTATTAAATATATTGAAGAAGTCACAAGCACACATTCGTAATATAAGAATGTCTGTGTATGTAAATAAAAGCAAGACAATGAAAGTGATAAATTTATCATTTGTAACAAGTCATTTGTTATACAGGCCGTTTCTTTGCATAAAATATAAGCCCCTGACCGATATGCATGGATGTTCAATCAAGCAGACGCTAAAAAGGAAACAAGGTAAAAAATTACGTAATTTATACTTGGCATAAAAATTTAAGTGTGTTATATACGGTGTTATATACAGATTATCCCGAATTCGTAAATCCAAGTGTCATAGCTAAAGTCAAAATGCAAGTTAAAGTTCTTAAAAAAAATATAAGTTGAACAAATATTTATCATTCTGAACAGTTTTTTGAGATTATATATAGTTTAAAAATAAGTTTAAAACTGACCAAATATAATTATAGTCGATTTATAAACCTTATAAAGATTATAAACGGTCGTTTAATCGTGAAGTTGCGTGTCAATAAGTACAGGGTTGGCCATATTCGACGGAAAGATGTTTTTTTTTTCAATCATGGGAAAGAGATGTTAGATCGAGTAATGACGTTTCCCATGATTGAAAAAAAAAACACTTAAATGTAGGCTACTTTGTATTAAAAAAAACTATAATTTTTTTCATATTTATTAATTTAACCTCTTTTTGAGAATTTTTGAATGTGAATTTCATTACTATACACAGTTAAATTTATGTGAAATATCAATGGAAATTAACGAATGAAAAATTCCTGAATCTATGATATTGTTATGTAATCCATCGTACTATTGTATAAAATAATAATTTTTGTCGGCGGCAACATTTATATAATCAGAGTTATCCAGCGTGAAATATGATAATCTACATCTAGATCGTGTTCACAATAATGTAAATAAAATAATTTAAAATGTTTTACGTGTCGTTTGTATAAACAATCTATGAATATAAGTGAGAGCAAAAAGGATTCATACAATGAAATTTTTATTAAAAAAGTCTTATTTGTAGAAAATCAACATTAATTAGCAATTTTATATAATAAATACATTCTGTTCTAACATAAACAACCAAGCTTCGCTTGTATTTCTGATTTTAGAAGCTAAATTTCTTGACTGTACGAATACTTTTTGATTATCCAAAAAATACAATTTTTAATTTTCGTTTATTTTTCAAATTATATATTTTCTATAATTAATACACATCTTTTTGATATATATAATTTTAAGAAACATACAATGTATTTTATTCTTTATAAACTATTAATTATATCACTTATTTGGCTTTTTATATGTATCATCTCAGAAATTCTTCTTTTAAATAACGATTGTTCTCTGACTAAAATTCTAACATTATCCCAATCCAATTTATGCTTCTTAATTCTGGTGATAATATATAAAAAGCCAAATAAGCAAAGTGATACTGAAGAATTACCTGATATTTATTTGCCTACTCTAAAGGAAGATCTCTCTCATACATATTAAAAATAATTCTAAAATAATCTAAATTTCTTTCTTTTGACGCACATATAAATAGCGGACACACATTAATGTATACACAAATAATAATATACAATCACGACGAATTTTCATCTGCGTGAAGAAATTGCTTAAGACAATGCAAAGACTCATCAATTTGTCTGTAAAACAGGTAACGAATTATATATCCTTATTAAATTAACGACATTTAATTTCATTTAAGAATAGAAGACCGAACTAGGTTTTGAAAAGTATGGTCAAAATCAGGTTTCTAAATTGGTATTGGTAATGCTCGGTAGACGATGTTCGAATCGCAAAACTCTCTCATACGCTTACCATGGAGTATAGATACTATTATCTTTAGTTTTTTATTATGTTTTTGAATATCTTTGTTTTAATGTGTGAACATAAAAACATTACTTTAATTTAATCTTCTAACTAAACTTCTATTTGTCATCATTTTTCTTTTTATTACGTTTTTTAATATATTTACAAAATGATTTTGCGTAAAAATATTGCAAAATATACTTGATGCCTTTTTCTACATTTCTAATATCTTCCACCTTTTGGTAAATTTTACCTATTAGATAAATCTGACAATCCGCTCATGTGATTGAGTAATCTTACTACTTATCCAACAGGTAAAATTTATTAAGAGGTAGAATAACCGGCCCTAAAAAATGACTAAATTGTTATAAAAATATATTTTAGTGAAAGAATAGTCGACGAGAAAAGATTATATGCTTTCTTTTTTAAAAGATATCTTTATGACAATTTAGTCATCTTTTAGTCATCTTTTAAATGACTTTGTGCTCTCTGGCTTCTATTATACTAAAAAGTAATTTTAAAAGAAAGAAAGATGTATGAACATGTATGGACATATTTCATATACATATAATTATATATACATGTTTATGAATATTTATGCGTGTTTATATATGATCTATACATATTTATACATATTCATACATAAAAAAATTTTTTACCGTATGTTTAATTTATAATTCACATATTTTACATTATTTGTATTGTTTACATGAAAAAATTTGTGTAAACTTAACATAAACAATACATAAATATTTCAAACGTAATCTTAAAATATGCAGCACTTTATTTACAACGTATTTCATTGGCACAAGATGTTCAATTAAAAATAAATATATACATAATTATAATAGACATCTTTATTTATACATTAAAGAAAATTAAATATTTTGTAAAGTATATTTTTTTATATATTTTTTTAAGAATTTTGAATCTATATTTTTTGTTACTATATTATATATTAATTTATTTGAAATATCAATGGAAATCAGATGAAAAATTTCTCTAGCCTATCCATCGCAATATACTGTATAAAACAATTAAATATATATTTGTTATTACGGAAAAATTTACATCGACAGCCAATGATTTAATAGTCGGTACATCTTTTATCAATCACAAAAATTTACCCAGAGTCGATACGATCTATTAATTATATCTTATCGATAAAACATGCCACGCTATTATCGACTGGCGCACCGCGTCATCTGGTGCCGGACGGCGGAATCGCAAGCGGAAGCGTGCCGGCCAACATCATCAGGTCACGTGACACTGGCATATTGATACGTGTCGGCGGGGTGAGCCACGACTCGCTACGCTTTGCCAGTCTTGCATACGCGGCCGCGTTCGTGCGCTTGATGAGAGGGTACTTTGCAACGGTGTCGATTCACGGGATCCTGTGAGGGAAGATCACTCGATCCGCGGTGCTTAGGACAGTCGTGTCAACGCAGACAAGATGGGATGTGAGTATGTTTGTCACTTACAGTCAGAAATAAGAGCCGCTGTTATCATGGATTCACGTTCGCCGCCAACCTCTTTCATTGTCGTGCGTAACCTCTCGCACAAACATATTGCTAGCGACGCGAATCACACTGACATACGCGCACCCGTCGCTCTTAGAAGCTCTAAACCGCCTTTTCTCTTCTGCTTTCAGTCAAATTTCTCGAGGTGATAAAGCCATTCTGCAGTATACTGCCGGAAATAGCGAAGCCGCAACGGAAGGTAAATCCTACGCAATGTACGATCTATTTCCGTCTCTCTCTTGTATTTACAGTTTCGTGTACCGTTTTTCCTAAATTCCTTAATCGTCCTGGGTGTGTGTAAATATAGGATGAGATGAATTATTCTTTACCATCTGTTTACATACATCTATGACATGTGATGACAGTGTAGAATTGTATTCCTTGAAACTATAACTTTTCTTGATACTTTTTTTCCTGATAAACTTATATACTTTACTGTTAATCTTTCTCAAACCTATTCTACAATTGCATAGTGTAGCTATAAGTGATTGTAGTAAGAATTGATCATTCACAGTCAAATTTGAAAGTTCAACTGTTGTCAATTCTTACAATGGCAACTATTTATAAGTGGCTTCTATAATGAGATTTTAAGGCGTAAGAAGTTAATTAATCATAGCTGATCATTCTCCTCATACTTTACTGTGATTGAATGTTATTTCTTATGGCTTAAGACTCAAAGCTTAAGTTTTATACCTTACAATCTTATGATAGATGCTGCTTTACGTAATAACAGAATGAATTTTAATGATTTTATTATATTTTTAATCTTTGACTGTCAGCGACTGAGATGTATTCAATTTTTATTACTTTTTATACATCACTCGTAGATCTCTTTCAAATTGCAAAAGTGTAAAAAGTTTATAACTTGAAAACAACTGTTTTTGTATTGCTGTTTGAAATATATTTTTTATCTTTTAATTATCCTACCTTTTTTGATTACCTCTTAATTATCCAATAGAGTACAAGTCAAGAATAAATTATTTTTTATTGATTCACTACTTTCTTTTTCGTTTGTTGTCAATTATCAGATGTATTATACTACGTATTTGACTTTAAATAAACAAAGTGTACACTAGTTTAACTATAAAATCTATAGACCCAGCCACAGTCCTCCGAGGAGTACTTCTTTCGAGAGTTAATTTATCTTAATCATAATGAAATGGAATCATAATGTGTTTCTATATCTTTTCACAGATCCAATTCAGAGAAAAAGTATTATGGACAGCGATCACATTATTTATCTTCTTAGTATGTTGTCAGGTGAGTTCATAGAGCTTAAGGTTTGAATTAATAATACGGAAAGAAATTAGTAGAAAATCGTCACAAAACTGTCACAAATAAACATAAATACATAATCTCGTTATTTTCAGATTCCATTGTTCGGAATCATGTCTTCAGACAGTGCGGATCCATTTTATTGGATTCGTGTGATACTTGCATCAAACAGAGGAACTCTCATGGAATTAGGTATCTCGCCGATCGTTACTTCGGGTCTTATTATGCAACTGCTTCACGGCGCAAAGATTATTGAAGTCGGCGATACACCAAAAGATAGAGCATTATTCAATGGCGCGCAGAAATGTAAGTACATAAATTTTAATATATAATTGAAATGAAGCATAAGTAGCATTTGTTTTTTCTTTGTGCAGTGTTTGGCATGGTTATTACCGTTGGACAAGCTATTGTTTATGTGATGACCGGAATGTATGGAGATCCGACTGAAATTGGAGCTGGTGTCTGTCTCCTGATTATCATTCAATTGTTCGTCGCTGGACTCATTGTATTATTATTGGACGAGCTTCTTCAGAAAGGATATGGATTGGGAAGTGGAATATCTCTCTTTATTGCCACTAATATTTGCGAGACCATTGTCTGGAAAGCATTCTCGCCAGCCACAGTTAACACAGGTAATTTCCTCGTTATTAGAAAAAAAACTACATGATATATATTTACTATTATTTTTGATAATCTATTTTGTCTCTAAATCAATCTATATCAACTAAAATATATTTTTGTACATTTAATAGGACGTGGAACAGAATTTGAAGGAGCCGTAATCGCGTTATTCCATTTGCTGGCCACCAGACAGGATAAAGTTCGAGCCCTTCGAGAAGCGTTCTACAGACAGAATCTTCCAAATCTGATGAATCTTCTTGCCACCATTCTAGTGTTCGCTATCGTTATTTACTTCCAGGTAAATTGTCGATAGGGCATTTACATGAGCTATAAAGTTTTTATTTTACGTAATTGCTTTTTAACTAATACGTCTTCGAGCAAAAAAATATCAGACTGGATTTTAGAAATAAAATTATTCTACTGATTGTGTATTAAAAGTCTGAAAGTTATTGGCACGCAGTTATCTGAAATAAATTGATTTAATAAAGAATATATATTATATTATTCGAAATATCTAACTTTGACCATGATGATATTCTATATATTCATGTATATGATCATTTCTCAAGTCTTAATAATGTTTAAAATTATTTTATTTTTAGGGCTTCCGTGTAGATCTCCGGTTAAAACACGTC